GCTGTTTCCCCAGGGATTGCCCTTTATCCTCCTGGTTTTCTATTTGCTGCTGGTGCTGTGGGCATGTCACGCTTGGCCAGAGCCCACCCCACCAGTGGGTCTAAAAATAGATGCAACCAGAGGGCTGGGTTTGTGGGAACCATGGGAAGCTGGTGTGTCACTGCTAAAGATTATTGCCACTGGGTCCTGGCTTATTTAAATAGATGCCTGGCCAGGAGAAACAGCTTTCAACAGGCTGAGGCTGAGGCTCTCTTCCTCCTGGCAGTAGAGCCACATCTCGCTGGGCAAGCAGGACTCCCTCCGACAGTGGCTGGCCCACCCCACACACTCCTGCCACACCACTTAGCAGCCTTATTGCACTGAAATGTCACAGGAAAGAAGAAAAATAAACAACCAACCAACCCAAAAAAGATCCCAACAAGCTCTTCTCCACCCACAGACAGCCCCCGGAGACTTTCCATCAGCATTTCCATACCAGATTTCTCCAACTTCCTGCATGCCTTCAAGGGCTGGAAAGGACTGCCCTCTGATGAAGCATCCTGAATATTCTGCATTAACTCCTCCACCACCCTGCCCTGCTGTCCACCCCTCTGTGGTTGCAAGGTACTTACCCGCACAGAGCTCCTCATAGGTCCCTGTTCTGTGTTGTAGGCCTCCACCTCCAGGACATGAGAGGAGTTCTGCTCCCTGTCGAGGTGCCGCACGCCTCGCATCACTAGCCCAGTGCTGGGATTGATGCGGAAGTTGTTGTGCTCGTTTCCTAGGGGGGAAGGGGAAGGGAGGGGAGCAGAAATGAAATGGATGCTGCCCACCACCACTGCATCAGTCCTGTAGACATGCAGAGGAAGCTACATTGGAGAAAGATGATTGAGTAAAACCCAAGCCCCATCACCTCCAGCTATATCAGGGTTAGCTACTTCAGGGTTTGGCCCTGGCCAAGTCAGAAGCTACGGCATCTAGGTGTCCATCCATGACAAATCATCCCCCAGCAATTAACCCTAATGTTAACGTGTTGCTTAAGGGTGGAGGGGATGTTTCTGTGGACTGCAAAGTGCAAAAGGATGGAGAGTGCAACCTCCTGAAGCTGTGTGCACGACTGGCCAGAGTCTGGTACAAACTCACCAATGCATGAAGGGGCATCTGGACTTACCTTTGACAATCCTGTACCATACTCTCCCATTGATGCCTTCATCTGCATCTGTGGCTTTCACCTTTATGAGAAAAGAAAAACGGTGAACGAGAATTGATTGCAGAGTGCAGAGATTTCCAGACCATGACAAGTCCTCTCATGCGGCCGAGACTGGACATCCTGCTCCTCCACCTGAGCCAGGGAGCTTACAAACTGCAAAGCAAAATAAGTTACCCTCCCCTTGACACCAGACATCAGGGATAATGGGCTTGGGAACCCTCAGCTGCCAGGTTGATGGGCTCAGGGTGGGAGCTGAGCCTGAAGACCATGCCATGAATCCTGTGGGTCAGTGTGCTGGTGGAGAAGCCTCCATCGATCCTGCTTCACACACCAATGCTTGTCCCACTGGAGATGCTGCTGGGGATGGAGCCTCCCTGTCCACAGAAATGGCTTGAGCTGGGCAGGGAGAGCTGGTCCCGTGCCTGATGGGCACGCAGCCCACAATGCAGGGCAAGTCAATCAACAGCAGAGTATGTAAAAATTACCAAAAGAAACATGAATGCAACCAGCCTAGAGTATGCTGGTGGTCTGGACACTGTTGAGTCCTTGCAAGACCCCGACCAGAGGGTGGGAGCAGCCCTTAACTGTGATGCACTGCACAGTCCGTGCCCGTACCGTATCAGCCACCCGCCCTGGGAAACCCAAGCCACGGGTCCCCTCTGGTGTCGCTGGACAACACTGCAGCGCTCTCCCCGCAAACCCCAGCCAGGACCCCGCCGGCCCCGGCAGCTGGGAAGCGGGACCCAGACAGGGACAGCGGGGCCGGGGCTTCCTCCCCGGCTGGCACGGAGCCACTGCATCTCCCCTCCACAGAAACCACTTCCCACAAAGCATCCAAAGCACAACCGCTGCGGTGGCTGCTCGCAAATCACCGGGGCGAGGACATGAGGAATGCCTTAGCCTTTATTCTCCACTTGCTTCCCCTGGCAAAGCACCTGCTGCTGCATCTTCTCCCTGCAAATAATACCCAGTGGTTTCCTTTTCTCTGACACATGAGGGTTTGCACCCAGACTTGCACTGAAAAGAGGAGGGGTTGCTGCAAAGGATGCATGTGCAACAGAAACAGCGAGGCAATGGGATTCAGCTTTAAAGTCCTGGGCTATCTTTCATCCACAGCCCCATATACCACTTGAAGGCATATTAGATGCTCTTCTGAAATGCAGTTTTGAGATGCCTTGAACTGCTGCTGTTCCCTTCCACTAAGTAAATCTGTGCCATCAGAAACCTTAGAAAATGCTGACCCCTGCACTTGCAAACTAACTGGATTTCCCACCCCTGTGCCACATACACACTGTTTTCCTCACCAACGCCATCTCTTCCACCCTTGAGTCTCCCCAAGGCCATTTCTGGGCAGGAGCTGGGCTGTGTTCTTCCATGTGATGGATGTGTCCTGCACCAGCAGGCAAGAGATGCCCAGGCAGACTGGCAGTCTTGGCACGGGAAAAGCTATCTCATCGACCTGAACACCCTGCTGAGGTGGCAGCCATGAGAGGGAGACCTAAGGGATGGGATGGGATGGAAGACAAATCTTTGCTGCTTTTTGTGCCATTTCCTGCCCTGCTGTGCTGGGAAAAACGCATTTCAAGGTGAGCAAATGGAAAGATTTTCAACTTGATGAGTGAACTGCACCCTGCAAACCCCCCCTTAGCCATCCTTTTCCCAGCTCACCCTACCAAGCATTTGCTGCAGGCAGCTCCAGCACATAAACCAGGTATTTGTTTCTTATTTAACAAAAGAAAAAAAAACCAGTTTGCATTAAATCAATGCATGCTCCTCCCAGCCTGCAGACTGGAAAAAGCTTAGTTACTGCTGGTTTGACCCACTGAGGTCCTAGAATAGATGCAGTACTTTGACAGACTGTCCCAAACTTGGAAAGCAATTGCACTCGAGCACAAGTGGTGGGAGAAAAGCTTTCTGCTGCAGGTGAAAGGCTCCTTGTGCAGCCGAGTGCTGGATGCCTCCAGCCTGCTTGGTCCCCCTGCTAGTGAGTGGGCTGCTCTTAAGGCTACCTTTCAAACACCCCCAGCTGCAGGAAAGGGGTCAGAAAAGTTGAGGGAAGGAGCTGGGGAATAAAGGGAAGGGAGAAAAGCCAGCAGCTTGGTGCAGAGCTGCTGGGAAGAGGGGAAGCAGGCATGTGGCTGGCAGCCCGCAGCCCCCTCCCCGGCACAGGGGGCTCGGCCCACCACGACTGTACCATTCAGCATTCTCGCAGCGGCAAAGCCCAGGGAAATGCACCTCGGGGGGCTCAACCTCTCGTCCCTGTGGTGCTCAGCCGCGGGGCACCGCCGCACTGGCAAAGCCCTGGCGGGGGCTCGGTGTGCCCCTTGGCTTTGCACACTCAGGCTGTCCCCAGCCTGGCTGCCAGCTCTCTCCCACTCTCCCTTGCCCTCCAAAAGGGAGGAGGGGGCTGGCAGCGGCGTTTCAAGGCAGGCGTGCGGGAGCTCAGCCAGCCGGTGAAAGGGAGCCCAAAGCCCCGTGGCAAACCCACCGCTGGCCGCTCAGGCTAACCCCGAGGGGCGAGCAAGACACCGGGGACGTGCCGCCATCCCGCAGCCCTGCAGCTGCCTGGGGAAAGGGCTGCAAACGGGGTGGAGAGGGGAGACGCGGAGTTTGGGGTGAGTATGAAGTCAGGCATCCCTCCCCCCTTTCCCATCGCGTTGCTTTGTCTATCCCAGTGATTGGGAGAAGGGGAAAGTCATGCGGGTGCAGCACTGCTGCTTAACAGTGAGGGTGGTAGGGTACAGCATCACTTATAGCCCTTTGCTTTCAGTACCCAAGTATCCGGGTCAGTAAGGTCTGTGGTAAATTCCAGCAGTCCTGCAAGTGAGCAGAAAGAGTTAGTGAATTGGGAAAAGCTGGGAAGCTCCAGAAAAGTGTTGCTAAGCAAGATGGAGAGGGGAAAGAGAGCTGCTTTTCATCTGAGCTGTATTATAGGCACAGAAGTGCCTGAAAACAGCCCTTTCTTTCTCTGCAGGAGTTTGAGAAAAGGGAGAGAGAGCATATGGAAAAACTCCTGCCAAACTATGCAGCTGGGCCAGGCCAGGCAGGCAGTACCCGGTGCTGGGCAGAATAAAGCTCTTTGCTGCTCACACACAAGAATAATTTCTTCTTCCTTTCTACTCTCCTCAGGAACATTTTGCTTTTCACAATTTCTCTTCTTTCCCTCTGCTCCTTGGCTGCCTCATGCCCAGTGCTGGGTCTGGAGTACTTGTGGGGATATCTCATGTTAGATTGGATCAGGCAGGGATGATCCTGCTGGGGGGTGGGTTTCCAGGCTGGGCAAGCCTCTTAATAACCCATCTGGGTTAATAATGTGGGGCTTGGGTGGGAACAGCAATGCTGAGAAGGGGCACTGCTATGAACAAGGATGCAGGAAGCAGCTTGGCCAGTGGGTACAAAATACTGTGGGCAGCTGATCTATTGCCATGCTTCAGAAAGGCACCAAGCTCCCACCCTGCAGGAGGGAAGCCCTCACTACACACGTGCCATGGGCAAATGAAGTGCTGCTCTTACCATGCCCTGACCTTTCTGCTGGTAGGACCACAGTTTTGGTGGCTTTTTTTTTCCTGAAATTCTGCTGAAACAGCTGTAGCTCTGTCTCAGGCAGGAGGTGAGGGGGAGAGCTTTATGTACATTAATACACTGAAAACCTATCGTCCCTAAAAAGGAGTCACTGCTCACATGTACTTGGCTCTTTTTCCGAAAGGTCTTAGAGATTAGGTGAGGGAAAGCCCGGACCTTCTCTGGGGCCACACCTCTGCCAGCGGAGCTGAGTGTGAGGAGAGGATGGCTGGTAAGCTAGAGGAGAAGAGGGCATAGCTGAAAAAGCCTGGAGAAACATCAGTGTGATCTCTTCTGAGGAGTTTCTAAGGGACACTGTCAGCTGGATGTAAAAGAAAAACCCTACAGCTGCCACCAACAGAGCAAAAAACAACCTGAAGAAATTGTTCAGGCCTCCCAACTTGCTCTTAATGAACAATATAAGGTTACTAAGCCAAACCACATGTGGTCAGTAAATGCCAGAATTAAGGTAGCTGTGGTAACCTTAATTCAGGCTGCCTTTGGTGCGTGCAGTAAGCAGGAGCCCTGCCTGCTGGTTTTCATGCCCAGGCAGTGCACAGGAGCAGCTTGCCTATGGCACAGAGGGGTCCTTGGGATGGCTGAGGCTGCCAGTGGCTGCTCTGCTCCAAAAGCTGGGAGGGAAGGGGCTGAACCAGGCAAGGAGAGGTGAAAACACCTCTTTAGGGGAAGGGACAAAAGCCCTGGCCCCCTGAGCCTGCTTGAAGTATGCACAGGGATTCACCCGGACTGAAGTGTTCTCATATGCTGACCCACTTACTTTTGTATTTCCCATTTCTGAGTGTAGACCTGGCTCTGAGCGATGGAAACAGCCACATCTCCCCAGAGCCTCTGAGCTCTGACTCTGAGCGATGAAAGCAGCCACATCTCCCCAAAGCCTCTGAGCTCTGACCAGGCTGCTACAGTCCTTTCCCTGAGGCTGCCAACAGGGCTCTGAATGCTCAAGCTCAGATGATACAAAGTATTCTAGAAATAAATCACACCTCCCAGGTGCCTCAAACCCAGCACCAATCTCTAGTGGAAGCCTCTGACCTTATTCCCTCTGTATCTCAGGTCACTGCCTGCAATGGGAGGAGCATGGATCATGCAGGAGCAATCTGTTTTCTCTGGGACAAGGCAGGGTCCTGGCAAACCAGAGCTGGGAGCTCACCTACATGCACCCTTATACAGGGGGTATGGCAGGGACAAAGACAACCCAAATTCAAGGATTCCCTAACCTTTGAGTTCTCGGCCTGGCAGCTCTCAGAGTGTTTGCTTAAGGTTGTCTCCGCCTGAGTAATTTGGATGGGCACAGTGAGAAACGCTTGTCTGTTCTGACACATCACCTTTCTTTCCACCAGGCTCATCGCCACCACGATGTCTCATAGTTTCCAAATAGTGATTAAAAACAGGTCATTGGTGTCTCAGCTCCCCTTTTTTGAATGCTTTATGGTGAACGTCTGGCTGCAGCCTATGCAAACCTGTGTGGCTTTCGGATGGCAGCTGCAAGAACAGACCCAGAGACCCTGGCAGTCCCTGCAGCCCTTCCTTTCCCCTCCTAAATTCTTAATTTTAAATGGTCTCAGTAGAAATCCATCCTTGCCAGGAGGCTGCCTGGCCACAGACCAGTCTAACAGCTCTCACTTTTCTAACTCCCACCTCTCTGTAGGAAAGTCAGAATAATAAAGCTTTACCTCCAGCATACAGACTAGAGTACCAAGGCCCAAGCCGGGCTGTTGCATTGCAGAGGGCTGGCACAGCAATATTTCCCCAACCCTCATCTCTGAGCTGGAGAGATGCTGACCTCTGTGAATGGGTGCAGGAGGGTGCTTGAGAGCAAAATGATGGGTGCAGACTGCTTTGGGGATGCAAGCTGGGGAGATCGGACCTGGTAAGTCAGCCATCAGGTGTTCAGTAAGAGCTCTTACTGATGAGGCTTTGGGGAGATGGTTTGCATCACTGTTTGCAGAACTGGCTGAGAAACCCACAACATGTCTGAGCTTGAAATGAGGTCAGCAAAATGCCAAACACGAGGATTTTTGGCACAAGCATGGTGACAGTGTTACACCTCATCTCTGAAAAAACCAACCAACAGAAAACCAACAAATAGTGCAATACAGCTTGATGAGGGCTTATCTGGGCAGATGTTCAACCAACTATCCATTTTCTCTGTGGAGAGGGCATAATCATAAAAACACAAATGACAGTCAATTCAACAAACCCACATTTCTGGAGAATAGCGAAGAACCAAACCCAGGCAGCTCAGAGGGGAAGATTTCGGACCGTCTCTAGTGTATGGTTATTTATCACTTCCAGAAAAGCTTCATGCAACATGTGTGCATGTTCCCTACATGCATCATCACTGGGGCCATGGTACAATATGTACATAGTACTACATGTACTAGATTTCTTTACCAAATAGTTTAGCTCTTCAGTTCAGGGCAGTGTTTGCAGGTATAAATCCCACCTCTATGCTTTGCCTCCTGGCAAAACAGACAAACTCCTCCTACCCCACTGTGTCACAGAAAACATGGCTGAGAGGATCTTGGACATCAAGGCAAGCCAAAAATCCATCAGGCTAGACAGAGGGTGGCTGTCTGTCCAGCTTCTAGATGGTAATCACCCATGTCGATTGTGTTACCTTGTGCACTGCAGGGAAGATGAGCACAGAGGACACTGGCAATGGGACCTCTCCTACCACGCCTCTCCTTGGGCTTCTGGTTTCAACCACTGAACTAGTCCCACCCAGCCCTGCAACCCCCAAGACAGCAGACCCGCTGCTTGTCATTGTTGCACTTGTCTGCATGTTCCTCCTCCTGGCGACCTTCCTCGTCTTTGTCACCCTCTGCAAGCCAGTGGCGCTGGACCAGTCCCGCTCTGGGCCCCGGGAGTGCATGCCCCATCACCCAGCCGATGCCAGTGAGCCCCAGCTGAGGCTCTGGAAGCGGCTGGGCTCCCTGCGATGCTCCGTCAGCACCTTCAGGAGGAGTCTGCCAGTGTCCCAGAGACACCTTGCCTGCCCCAAAAGCTCCCTCACCAGCCAGAACTGGGACATCATGGAGTCCACCAAAATGTGACCCT